TGATGTTTCAGTTAACTTATGAGTAATGGGTCAACAAAGTTTCATGGTCACTTGGATTAAACTAAAAAAGTTATGGGGTAGAAAACCCTAGTGGTAAAATTGTAATTTTAGAATTTTGTTCTCTAATTAAAATTTAGGTTAAACTAGAGGGCAAAAGGGTTATATTTATGACAATTAATCCTCTGAGATGATTTAAATATAAGGGTAAAAGAGTAGAAACCAATTCATACTATTTTCTACCAAAGGGCATAATTGTAATTATTCAAATAGTTGAGAACTGTAATATATTTAAGTTTGGATGATTCAAGTGTGAGAGGACACAAGTTAGAAAATCACTAATTAACTGATTTAAAGCCTCAAACAAATGGTTAAGCATAATTCAATCTTTCAATGAGAATCAAACAAATTTCATGGAACTTTTTTTTAATTACAAATTTATTCTTAAAAGATCTAAGAGCTTGGGGCGAGCTAGACTTGATTTAAAATCATTTATAGGGATTAGACAGGAAAGAACATAAGTTATCATACGCATTCCTAAAACACTACAAGCTCAAGCCCAATTGAGAAAATAGAATAAAATTTTGTTAAGCAATCAAGCTTTCCCCTAGAGTGACTACCCACATAAGTCTCAAACACAACACAAAAGAAGTGACCACTTGCCCTACTCAGGGGCTAATTAAGACATGAAGATTGAGCACAATTCAGAACATTGAAATGAAACTTTAACTTAACCAGAGTTCATCAATTTAACAATATAGTAAGACCAAATGAAGTTGAAATGATCTAAGAGATTATAAAGTTGTTTAGGGTCACTCCCCAAGCACCTTTACAAGATTTTAGATATTTTAGAGGAAATTTTGGCTTATCTAAATTTGTTGGAAAAAATCATTCTCAAGACTTTAGGAATCAACCAAGATATGATTCGAGACCATTTTAACTTAAATCACTAATGAAAAATGTGTCACTACTTATCCTACAGTAAAACTCAATTCTCAAGGTTATGAGTCTTGGATGTGGTATTCAAACCCTTTTGGTAACCTGAGAATATTTTAATGTCACATATGGATCATCGGGCTTGTGTAAGTTGGATGTCTGGGCGGCGAGGGCTATGACGACAATGCTTATTTGTGCTAAGAGTGAGATATCAGAAAAGTATCTCTTACCTCAACAATCTGGGAGGGCATAGAACCGCTGATACTGTTCCCCCAACTTTTTGTAAGAAGTTGGCCCTTATTTTCTTTGATTGCTCGTAGTTCTAGTCCGATCGGGGGGTAATTAACTGATGGAGTATCCAATTTTGACAAAACATTATGCATTTCTTTTCATTTTGGGAAATTTGCATGCATACCACACAGTTCTTTATGTACTCATATATATAAATATATATATATATATATATATATGACACAACGAAAATTTTTTTTCCTGCGACAATACTACTTTTGACGGCTAAGTAAGTTCTGTATGCATGAAAAATTAAAGGATTTTGTTTGATGAAATTCTATAAAGGTCCACATATTAATCATTTTGGCTGAAACCAAGAATTGCACTCCATAGATTGCTTGGTTGATAGCTCTTATCTAAGGTTAGGATTATAAAACACACAAACTAGCTCTGAGTACTCACCTTTACCAAATCCTTACATCTAACCTCGGTTTTCTATTTGTGGCAACGAATTTTGTTTTACTCGATTCGTGTTTTTTTACGATTTACTTAAAGTTTTTTCTCGTCTCATTTTTCTTACGATTTGCTTAAATTTCATGCATGTTACCATATTATGTTTATTGTACATGAATCCCAAGTACTCAAGTTTATTTTTTTACATTTACTGCACTTTGCCGCGCTTTACTGTTCTTTTATATTCTACATATTTATAATACATATTAGAATAGAAGAACAATAAATAGACTGATTATTTAGAAGGTACATCGCGGCAGGCCACGAGACCTATATCATAGTCGCTTATATTAAGCAAAGAAACATGTGCTCTACAATAGCACACTTAGAATAAAAAAGTTTTGGGGGGCATAGGCTAAATTGATGAGAAAAAATTCTACATCATTGAAAAATGTTTACTGCTATTTTTATGACATCATGTATGAGAGAAAAGCTATTTATGGTTTTTCAAATTCTAACTCAAATATAAAAAAATCACAATAAAATAATATTTTTCTTTTTACCCCCTAAAATATTATAATAATAAAATACCCTAATTAAAATAGCGAAGTAGAAAGAAGACCCTCTTGTCACCTCCCAAAAGAGCCATTGTGGGTGGTGGGCAGCCCAGGACTTAAATACTGCTTTTCGGCCCTACAACTAGCCGATGTGGGACTATTTGTCCGTGACATTCTTCTCCACTCAATTCACGTGACGCCCTATTCTCGGATCGGCTCCTCCGAGGGTCCCACTGGACCATGGAGAGTCCACACACTTGATAGGCAATAATCTGCTCTGATACCACTTGTCACCTCCCAAAAGAGCCCTTGTGGGTGTTGGACAGCCCAGGAGTTAAATACTGCTTTTCGGCCATGCACCTAGCCGATGTGGGACTATTTGTCCGTGACACTCTGCCCGCTTATTCTATGCTCGCTTCTTTCTGTGTATTTTCATGCATCAGAGTACCGTACATCTCCTCCACCACCATCATCGCCGGATTCCGCTGCCGGGCTTCTAATTTGCGAGCGAAGCCGTTCATCGAAGGCTGACGATTCGATCAACTCCCGAAGGGTTAGAACGATCATCGATCCTTCCACTTGTATCTATTCTTTGATTGTTTATGCTCTTCGTCTTCATCTTCTCTGTAATTAATTCCTTGCCCTGATGAAATGAATCCATGGCAGAGAAAAAAAAAAAGGAACTTTAGTTTCTGTTTTCTTATGGTGAATTTTTTTTTTCATTAAAAAATATATTTGCCTGGAGTTTATTATTTGTATTGCAATGATACATAAAAAATATTATCGTGTCCCGAATTACATATTTTTATACAAATATCCCGGTCTGTTGGTTGGTATTATCGGTATAAAACCCCTTAGAACAGGGGTTCGAATCATCTCCAGCGACGTGAGTATTAAGAAGGTGATGCTCAAATAGTTAGTCACATTAAGAGTGGTTGGATGCTCCTGATAATAGAGCGCTTGCGTGTGTGTGTGTGTGTGTATATCTACGTATAAAACACACATTTATAAAATATTTTAGTTTCTTGGTTCGGCTTCAAAAATAAAGTAGCAGAGTGAATAATTTTCTTAAATTGGAGCACATAAATCAGAGGTCCCGTTAATGGGAGCGAAGGTGGGAGCGCTGGTTGCAACGAAAGCTAGGAGTTTGAAAGCTCTGGGGGGGATGGTAATGGTGATGAGAAGATGGAGCCGGAAGTATTGTAAGAAGAAGAAGAAGAAGGTGGGGAAGAAGAGAGGGAGGAAGGCAGCGAAGTCCCGTTCTATTAAATTTCTGATGTAATTAATTTTGCTGATTTAAGTTGTTTTGATGGATTTAGAGATATGAGAGGTTTGTATGAATTTAATGTTAAAATTGTTATAGTTCTGTAATAATGTAGTATTAAATTACAAAAAAAATATTATCTCGGCTCGTTGGTGCTGTCTCTGACATAAGTCCCTCGGTTCTAATCCTGTTGCACGGGCTCTTCGGATCAATTACAACACACCTAAGTTTCGACCTAAAAGGAGAAACATTATTTGGTGCCCATTGGACCAAATACTGATTCCCTTATATATATATATATATATATATATATTTAAAACTTTATAAAATAAGTCATGATTTCCAATTTTTATACTCAAATTTTATAATTGGATGATCGAATGTCCCAAAAATATAACCCTTTGATATTTGAAAAATCAAAATAAATTAAGAGCTTCTAAAAAAGCTTTTTGAGATTTGAAAAATTAAAATAAATTAGACATAAGGTATGTTTAATAAACAATTTCAAACAAGAGAGAATAGATGGGGTTTCACAAATAAATAAAAAAGAGAGAAAAATGTAATTAAAAATTAATAGAAAATGGAATACACCATTCTCATATATAGAGTTTCCCCCCTAAATTATATTCTCTTTGTTGTGTGAGAGGAGAAAATGCGATCATGCAATTGGGCTCGCCGACTGGTAGCATGGGAAAGTTCTCATTAGTCGAGCCTGAACTTGGTCCCTTACACTCCTAGTGACAATGATTGCAAATTAAATCTTGGTCAACGACAGTCGGCGACGGTCAGTGTCAATTACATATTCTGGGGACAAGTCGACGGTATCAGCGGACACCAGTTTATATTAAGCTATGTATTTTAAATTCTGTCAAATCGGCCTCATTCCAAATTCAAAGAAAAAGAACTAAAAACAGAATTTCAAATACGATTCTATTTTAGATTGAATTACAATTCCTTCCGAATAAAATGAATAAATTTCCAAAATTTATGCATTAAGAATGCAATATATTGGCAATGTTGCCGACCAAATAACAAGGGCACATAGTCTCCCATTACTATAATTGAAATTTGTAATCATATAATTAAATATTAAAATATAAAGGTAAATATGTATATATATTTTATGCATTTAAATTCTAATAATAATATTATTAATAATAACAATAATGAAGATTTACATTCTTGCCTCTTAATTCTTATGTATTTATATATCTAATATTTAAATTTTAAAATTTGCATATGTATTATATATATACCATTTCATATTGAAAAATTTATAAATGTAGCACATAATTTTTATATATTTATATATCACACATCTAAAATTTCATATTTACATATACAACACATTAGTGCTTTAAATCTATACATAAAAATATTTATTTTACTTAAAAAATGATAATAATGTGATATTAAATATTTAAGTGCTATGTATAAATGTAAATATTTATGTGTAAGATATGTAAATAAATTAAAATTGTAGGCTATGTATGTAAATGCCCCAATTGTTTATGCATGAATTTCACGATTATCTATTTTTGTCCTCATCCTCTCCCGACTATTTCAGGAGATATTCGGCGCACTTTCTTCCAACTCTGACACTCTACAGGTGAATTAATGGCGGATTTTGAATGCGGATTCGAAGAATCATTTCCACAAGAAGGGGAGCCATTGGAGGAAAGGAGCCTCAATCTCCTCAAAGACTCCGAAATCGATCAAGGTAAACCGATTCCTTCGTCTTCTCGCGTTTCCACTCTTCTTCCTCTTCTCAAGAACCTGAACGGCATATTTGCTTGTTTTAATCCCATCACCTTTGCAGCTTTTGCGGAAGCGAAGGCGAAGAGAAAAGGTGGGAAGAAGCACAAGGTGAAATGGATGAGGAGGCCCATGGTGATGCCTGAAGCCATTCTCGAGTTTCTTGACGAAGATCTCCGTGAGAATGCCATTCGATACCTTAGCAACTTTCTCATCGAGGTCCATTTTTTTTGTTGATTTAATGGATGAGAAGTGCGATATTTTGCCTTAATCTTTTTTCATACTTTGATTCTTTTACTGCCTTTTATTTTCTCAACTTTGGTTCACGTTTTAACACTCTTTATTTTCTTAATCTGTTTTTTGTATTGCGGTTTGAATTTGTTTTGCTTCATTTTTATTTTCTCAACTTTTGTTCACGTTTTAACTGATTCTTTATTTTTTTTCAATCAGTGGTCTTACTGCATTTTTTTTTCTTGGTTCTTCTTACTCCATTCTATTTCTAGCTACTCTCTTTTCTTTTTGGTGGCTATTTCTTTCTTGGATATTTTTTGTCCATTTGATAAATCCTCAAAAAATCATTTTAATCATGCATAAATGTCCCCACATTTCAAATAATAAACATTTTAGATTCAAATTCAAGATTATCAAGGGTCTGTTGGAAAAGAGAAGCTTTTTGATATGACAAATGCTAAAAACTTATGGAAGAAACTTCACTCTTATTTTTCATCTTGATCCAAACTCAAAGACTCTACCCCTATTCATACCAGTGACACCTCCTAAATTAATGGCTAGAATTGTGCCACCACAATTCCAATCCAATTGTTACAAATAATTTCATACATACCACACAATAATTCCACACCTACCACACCTACTACACAATAATTTCATACCTACCACATATTCTAGAATAAACTTCTAGAAATTAAGTTTTATTTAAACAACTAAAATCAAGTTTATATTTCAACATCCCCTCTTAAACTTGATTTTGTGGCTCCAAGCAAATTTCTCATTTTAATAAAGTCTTCACTCTTGAATGACTTGGTAAAAATATTTACAACTTAGTTTTGAGACTTCACGTACTGCACTTGTATCTTCTTTCTTTCGATGTATTCTCTGATGTAGTGATAACGCATATCAATGTGTTTGCTTCATCGTGAAAAATGGGATTCGTTGTTAGCGTGATTGCAGACTTGTTATCGATACAAATCTTAATCGCTTTTTCTTGTGGTAAACTTAACTCCTTTAATATGTTCATTGTCATTTTGAGAATGATTCTATTCTTCCTTTTTGCTACTCCATTTTGTTGGGGGATATTAAAATAGTTAGAAGTCGACGTATTCCGTTAGCTTCACAGAATTCTTGAAATTCTTTTGAAGTGAATTTTCCTCCTTGATCAGATTACATAGTTTTGATCTTGAGATCACTCTCTTTCTCTACATCTGCTTTAAACTTCTTGAATATTCCAGAAACATCTGATTTTTGTTTTAAGAAATACACACATGTTTTTTGTGAAAAATCATCTATGAAGAGAAGAAAATAGTTGCTCTTACCGAGTGAGCTTGACTTTATTGGACCGCGACACTGTATGTATGAGCTCAAGAGGCTTTTGGGCTCTTGAACTTGACTCCCTTGGAAAGCTTTTTTGGAAGTGCTTTCCGAGTAAACACCCTTCACATAATTGATTATGGTGGTTAATGCAAGGTAATCCTCTCACCATTTCTTTCTTTGAAAGAAATTCAAGTCCTCTGAAGTTGAGATGCCCAAATCGAAGATGTCAGAGTCAAGAAGCATCTTTATAACAGGTCTTCAGACATTTAACAATAGCGTTTTGAATGTTGAGTGAGAATATTCTATTTTTAGACATTGATACCTTAGCAATCAAGTTACCAATATTGTTTTTTAAGAAAAGAGTATTTTCTTTCAAGTGAATGTCATATCCTTTCTCCAAAAGTTGCCCTAAACTCAAGATGTTGCTCTTCATATTCAGCACAAAGTAAACATTAGAAATAAATTGATGTTTCTCATTTTTCTGACGGATGAGAATGTTACATTTGTCTTTCACCTCTATCTTGGACTCATCTCCAAAAGACACATTGTCGCTTACTGATTCGTCAAGCTCTACGAATATGCTTCGTCTCCCACACATAATTGCTTGCACCGGTGTCCAGGTACCATGCACTATCTTCACCTCTTTCATTGTCCTTGTATGCTAGAAGTAGAGTGTCATTTTCTTCTCTTTTTTCTTCTATATAGTTGACTTTTTCATTCATTTTGTACTTAGGTGTTCTATATTCTTTCGCATAATGCTCAAACTTGTTACAATCATAACACTTAATTTGAGATTTATCATACCTCGAGTTTGAGCGTCTTCAACCACGTCCTCTTATAAATCTTTCTCCTTTCTCATAGTTATTGTTGGTACTCCATCCTTAATTGTTAACATGACCTTGTCCTTGTCCACTACCTCTTTCATGTTGGCTTCTAATGTTGTTGAAGCTGAGTTGGTTGGAGATTTTGGAGATTTATCTTGAGAAGTTGTTCGACAATCTCTTCATTCATCTTCTTCTTTTCTTCATGGGCTTGCAATGAACCCAAAAGTTGTTCTATCGTCATGGCTTGTAAGTCTTTTGTCTTTCAAGAAGCATCTTTATAACAGGTCTTCAGACATTTAACAATAGCGTTTTGAATGTTGAGTGAGAATATTCTATTTTTAGACATTGATACCTTAGCAATCAAGTTACCAATATTGTTTTTTAAGAAAAGAGTATTTTCTTTCAAGTGAATGTCATATCCTTTCTCCAAAAGTTGCCCTAAACTCAAGATGTTGCTCTTCATATTCAGCACAAAGTAAACATTAGAAATAAATTGATGTTTCTCATTTTTCTGACGGATGAGAATGTTACATTTGTCTTTCACCTCTATCTTGGACTCATCTCCAAAAGACACATTGTCGCTTACTGATTCGTCAAGCTCTACGAATATGCTTCGTCTCCCACACATAATTGCTTGCACCGGTGTCCAGGTACCATGCACTATCTTCACCTCTTTCATTGTCCTTGTATGCTAGAAGTAGAGTGTCATTTTCTTCTCTTTTTTCTTCTATATAGTTGACTTTTTCATTCATTTTGTACTTAGGTGTTCTATATTCTTTCGCATAATGCTCAAACTTGTTACAATCATAACACTTAATTTGAGATTTATCATACCTCGAGTTTGAGCGTCTTCAACCACGTCCTCTTATAAATCTTTCTCCTTTCTCATAGTTATTGTTGGTACTCCATCCTTAATTGTTAACATGACCTTGTCCTTGTCCACTACCTCTTTCATGTTGGCTTCTAATGTTGTTGAAGCTTTCATCTTTCTGAGTTGGTTGGAGATTTATCTTGAGAAGTTGTTCGACAATCTCTTCATTCATCTTCTTCTTTTCTTCATGGGCTTGCAATGAACCCAAAAGTTGTTCTATCGTCATGGCTTGTAAGTCTTTTGTCTTTTCGATAATGATTGTGATACTATCAAATTTTGAATCTAACGATCGAAGAATCTTTCTCATGATAGCCACATCTTCTAACTTCTCACCATTTCTTTTTAATTGATTGGAAATTGTAATGACTCTAGAAAAGTAATCGGATACCAACTCGCCTTGTTTTATATGCAAAACATCAAATTAGCGTCTTAAAGTTTGAAGTCGTATCTTCTTAACCTTCTCTTCTCCTTTATACGAAACATCGAGCTTCTTCCATGCTAGTTTGGTCGAAATAACACTTGAGATCTTCTCAAAATCATCTTAAAATTCTCAAAATCATCTTCATCTAAAGCTTGATAGATGAGGAAGAGAGCCTTCTTGTCTCTCTTTCGCAAGTCTCTTAAGCTATACTTCTGTGTTGTGGATAGAGCAGACTCATTGCTTGGGTCATCGTAGCCTTTCTCCACAACCTCCCAAACGTCATGCGCTTCAAGGAGTGCATTCATCTTGATACTCCAATTATCGTAGATGCTTTCCTTAAGCATCGGGACTTGGAACGAAATCATGCCACCGTTTGCTATTGCTATGTAATGGAATCTTTAGGCTCTAATACCACTTTGTTGGAAAGGAGAAGGTTTTGGATATGACAAAGGCTAAAAACTTATGGAAGAAGCTTCACTATTATTTTTCACCTTAACTTGACTTAATACAAACTCAAAGACTCCACCCATATTTATACTAGTGACACCTCCTAAATTAATGGCTAGGATTGTGCCACCATAATTCCAATCTAATAGTTACAAAAAATTCCATACCTACCACACAATAGTTCTACACCTACCACACCTACCACACAATAATTTCATACCTACCACATATTCTAGAATAAACTTCTAGAAATAAAGCTTTATTTAAATAACTAAAACCAAGTTTATATTTCAACAGAGTTCTCATTCTAGCAAGCTTATAGTAAAAAACGACCGTCTCAACAAGGCGAGCCTAATGAAACCAAAATTGATTCGATCTATGCCTAATCAAGGTCGTAAGAAGCTGTTCATGTGCAAATGGAGGCTTTGAATTGGCAATTGAATGATCAAATGAATAATAAAACAAACTTATTGTCAAAATGAGCGGTTCGTCAAGCAGAATCTGAATAGCTCAAGATCACTCAATTCTGACATTAAGTCATTCAAATGCTCATAGACCACCATCCGATAAAAAAGATTGCTCTGGACCGTCTGATAGAGTGGTCCAGATTCATGCAATCTTTATAGAGAATATCACTTAAAAAATTTATAAATAAACCATCACTTTCTTTGTGAAATGAGACTTTTGACCCAAACTTGGAAGAGAAGTTGAATGGGCTCTAAGCTTTTGAGGATTCTAGAGCACCACCACTGTTGGATCGCCTCTGACTAGCCCCCTTCACTACCAGGATTCCACTGCTACCCATCCCCCACCGTAGAGCTACTGCCACCATTGGACCACTATCACCTGACCATAGTCGCTCGACTATGGTCGTCAAGCAATCACGACCGCTAGATTACGTTTGCCTGACCACCATCATTGGATCATCGTCGCTCAGCCACAACCATCTGGCTGTCACCACAGCCGGATCACTGTCACTGCCACCAGACCATGGCCACCCGACTACCGTCATCAAGTCGCCTCCATCATCGAACCACTAATGCTTAGCCACTATCATCTGCCTGTCAACAAACCACCATTTCTCGGCCACTGTTGTGCGGCTGCC